TTACACCCTTAATATTTACATTGTGTGTATTATAACATTTCAAATATAACAAATTATATTATTTTAAAAATGTATAAATTCAGTAGGGTGTGAATTTTCTGGGGCCCTTAATTGAACCCCAAGGACGTCTGCGTAATAGATAATTATTATTTTTAGATTAAATACGTGTCTATAGTCCCCCGCAGTGGCAATTTTATCGCTACAGAACAAATTTAATATAGTGGTTGTAATTGTGATATAATTAATAAAATGTTCGAGTTTACCCTTATTATTTTATTGTGTGATCTTCGATAGTTCCTTATTTTGTAATTTATTAATATTTTTTAACCATACTATTGTTTTTCTTCTATTTAAATATTTTATTTAAACGTCACAGCCAGAACTACAAATGTTTTTGTAGTACATAAAATAAAATAAAAACAATACATAACTTCAAAACGGATTTTACTTTTTCTGTTTATAAAGTGATATAAATATTCAAGATATCATATTCAAGTATACGTTGATAAAGACATTATTTTGTATTCGGTTATTTGATAAATTTTGTGCTCTGTATTCATAAAGTAGATATTGAAACTAGAAGTAATTACTCATATTTTAGTTGTTTCATTTATTATAAAAATAAATAATTATTATGCTGCTATATCAAATAAATAATATTTACAAGATTATATCACATGTAATTAAAACAACTACTTAAGTCATGCATCGTACTTAAAATATTTTGTATACTTCTTCGAGGTGTATGTAATTCAAAAACGCCAATAACCTGAGTTAGTTAACCTGAGGAGTACAAATTAAAAAATAAAAAATGAAAAATTATGTATAACATAACATGGGTAAATAATTATATTATAGCTTAAAATTATAATTTATTATACATGATATTATATTTTATAATCAATGACATAATTGTATAATATATTAATTATGAAAAAAAATGTACTAATAAAATATTTTGATCGAACTAGCAAACCTGTAAAAAGAAACAGGTATTTAATTATTGATGGAGTTCATTTTCAAAGATTAAACGGGACCTACTCATTTTTTTTTATCTTAAACAAAATAAGTCTTCGAAAATGATTGTCTTTTATTAAAATAAGTATAAATAATAGCGTATACTTAAATCATTACATAATAAATAATAGAAAATTATTTATAATTATAGTTCAACAACCACAATATAACAGAACATTATTATATTATTATGTTAGTATCCATTTAAAAAACTTTAAATTGATTAATTATATACATTTTAGATAGAATGATAGTCACGTCATGTAGAATGCTGATCTAAGTATAGTATCTAAGTTTGAATTGCATACATTGTAAATTTTAATTAAAAATAACAGACAATCAGACAGATACATTTGAGAAAACAATTAATAAATATTATACTACTCCATTTTCCATGACATTTTTAGTTTTGATTTATAGATTCTAAACAGAGTGAGATGCTTTTTTCACCCTTTAATTTTGAATAAAGTCAAATAAGTTGCGTTCTAGATAGTATACTTTTATGCTGTCAATTATTATTTATTTTTTAAAATTAATGGATTCTATAAATAAACTATAAATATTATTTTATGCTCCATATTTCATACAATTATATGGCCAATAGATCATAATAACCTTCGTAATACCTATACCTTAAATATATTTAAGTAATTTTAATAAATTATCCAAACGATTAATAATACCTATACAATTTCAACCATATTAAAAATGTGCATGCTTACCAATTAATGTAGCTAAGAGAGTAATAGTGATTTATAAAAACGGTAAATATTATGCTTAAAAACCACCAAAAGGTTGAATTAAACTTTGAACTAAAATCAGTTAGGTTCATACCACATAAACTTAAAATATATGTATATTATTATTTGTCAGAAAATATTTTGATTGTTATTTGTTGTCTTTTGGCCATTCGTACTTATTTACTTTTTTCATTTCATATTAAAAAATTGCAATATCACTGTCGTAGTGTAATTTGCTACGTCACAGTACATTTGGTATCGTTCAGGAAATAATATGATTCAATTATTTTAATTTAAAAAAATCAAATGAACCAACAAGAGAATGATATTTAATTTACTATATTTTGGTGACGAGTGTTGACGTCTCATATTTTAAACGCATACTAATGCAAATCAAAATACTTCGACTATAGTCACGTTAGACTTCTTCAGTACTTATTTTATAATTATAAAAATAACTTATAAGAGAGATCAATTTAAAAGAAATTAAAAATCCAGTTTATTAGTTGCAAAATATAAATATTTCAGGTACTATTTCATCGAAAACATAATATTAAGTATCGCACATATTCCGTATTTTTCAAGTATAAGTAAAATGTTTTTGGTATAGAAATTAGAAGCGAAAATCTGTTTGTGATTTAATAAGTAGGTATATTGTTACTGTACATTTAATGTTTTTTATATACATATAATTTTATATTACTTACTTCACAACAAATCAATATCACAATTATTTTATTTAAAAAAAAATACAACTAAGTAATAACTAATAACAAACAAAATAAAAAATTTAATAATTTAAGCATAAAAAAATTATTAAGGTTAGAATATAGTATAGGTATACAATAGACATTGCATGTTGAAAAAAGTGCTCTAAAGGTAATAGGTAAATGTCCAAAAGTTGACGTTTTCTATTACATTGTTAATTATTTTTATATCCCAAATAATTTGAATATAATATATAGGTACTCGTATTTCAGGTAAAAGAAACCTAAGAGATGGTAAAATAAATTGACAAATAGTAGTTTCAAATCTAATGTCGTTATAATTGGTAACTTATTTCATTTACTTTTTGAATATTGAACTATAATCTAAAGAAAATCGAATAATTTATATTATATATTGTAATGGTATACGTCTGAAGCATCTTTTCAATATTTGTCAGACTAGTGAAAACTTAACGATTTTTCGACTGAGAGGTAGGTACCTATTATGGAAATATAATTCCAACTTGAAATATAAAGCTGAGTACTAGACTTAGACTGGCGAAATGGAAATGTATGAGTACCCAATTCCATTTGACAAAAATATATGCAACCCACTGGTTTATATCTTAAGTATTTTACTGATTAATTTCGTAAGAGAGTAAAATAAATACTATAATTGCATTGAAAATTAATTAAAAATTTGTTTTGTATTTACCATTGTAGAATAATTTAATTAAATTCGGGACATCATAATACTCGTCATAATATTAAAGCCTAAAAATGATAAGACCCATCATTATACAACACTCAATTGTCCGTAGGAAAGACACATAAATTATTGATGTCTAATGCTCAAATGCATTTCACATGGTCATTATATACCTACTCATTAGGACAGCTATAAAAGCTATATTATGCAGGACACGGACAATGTAATACACATTGCTCAGAAAAACACGTTACGTAAAAACCTCGAAATACGCTCCACCGAAAAACTAAAATTTTTCCGCGCGTTTCCTTTAATAACATAAAATAGACTGTTTGTGTGACACTCATAATTTTATAGAAATTGATTATTCGTCCACGATTTGCACGATGCCAACTATATATATATGTATAATTTATCTATTGATTTATGTAGGTACGGTTATATATTTATATTTATACAAATGTATATTGTCATTTGTCATGTAGGCGCATAATAATATGTAACAATGTCGTTATTAGCAGATTGATAACAGCGGTAAAAAAAAATTAAAAATAATGTGATTACACGATGTAATGGTAAAACTAATTTAATACAAACATTTAAACTATTTCACTAATTGATTATTAATAAACTGTTCCAAACCCCCCGAACAATTTCAATAAATGTCCAAAAATGTAATAAGAAAAATGTTTAGACATAACTTCGGGTATAACGTACTTTTCGTAAGGTATGGAAAATAAAAATATTCAAGATTCGCCTAAAAATTCCGAAAATAAAAATGTTAAAATATTGATTAAAATATGGTCACTATTAATGTTGTCGGGTATGCAATACATTATTCGACAAATCATAGTTGTAAATCATTATTCTACAACTCTACAGCAAAATAACGCACAGTAAAATAGTGATAGACGTGGTCATTAATGGTTCTATATGATATGCTATTTCAATGTCGATGCACGTGGGCGCCAACGGACCGACGGGGGATATCCCCTGTTTTTTAATACGATGGTGGCGTTGAGGGTGAGAGGGTTGGAAACAGAAAACGAATCCTTCAAAAATGCTTTGTATTCCGCCTCGGGATGTTACGTCAGGGACGGTAGTGGATTGTCCAAAAAAATAAAAAATCGTTTCGCCTCAATAAGCCAATGTTTTCGTAAACGCACGCACACACTCTCGTCGCGTGTCTTTTTTTTTTATCAGCGGTAGTGGAGAGCGAAAAGATATTTTTACAGCGGGCGTCGTCGGGACTTGCGACCGGATTTCGCGGGGGGAGGGGGGGACATGCCGCCGCCGCCGGGGCTGCTACTACTGCCGCCGCTGCTGTTGCCGCTACGGCTGCTGCTGCTGCTGCTGCTGCTGTTCCGATGGTCGATTATTTTCGGAACAGCTCGGCCTCGTCGTCTACGCTCCGCCGCGTCCACAGCAGGGCCCGACACCATTGATCCGCCGTAATAATATTACTCTCGCTTATCGTACGACGACGATAAATCCGAATCGTTAGCGCGGTGGCCGCTCGAGTTGGTATATAATATAGTGACCACACACACGTATTATGCAAAGCGTTTACATGCGTACACGAGCAAAATCTTTGGGCTAAAAGTCTCTCTGTGTGCAGATGTCCGCGTGGAACCGTTGGAAGGGACAACGACTAAGAACAAAAACCGAACACAAAACAGACGACAGACGGACAAAACAGACACAATGTAATGTTACAATAATATCAAGTACATAATATCATGATACCATGTGTTTCATATATATATATATATATATATATTAGGTATATATAAATAAGCAGACGTGGTATAATATCCGTTTACGTACCTCAGGCCGACGGCGAACGCGCGCTGCGACTCTGACAGAAACGCGAGTGAATGTCACTTGCGCGTCACGAGGGCGAACACGGAGCCGCGGTGGAGAAGGAAAAAAAATGCAAGACTTTCACTCGAACAGCGGACGCGCTCGCGGTCTGCTGATACTGTGTGGATGGGTTACACACGCGCGGCACGTGGTAGAACGGTTTAATATTTATTTTCGTAACGCGGCTCGTGCAAGCCTTTGCAGCGCATATGAGATAGCGTGGCGGCGAGCGTTGTTACCGCGGTCAATTTTCTTGTAGCGAAACAGCGATAAACGCGTGGGTAATGTGTTCGATTCGTTTCGAACGCGTGCTTTCGTCAAGTGGGCCTGGCTACTAAGTCCATGTAAAGCGACGCGATAACGAGTGCCGCGCTACACGAAAACGAAAACGGGAGAGTTTAGATTACAGCAGATGCGACCAGCGCGCGGCGTTCCGACGGGAGGGAGGGACACGCGCATCCGCCTAACCGTTCGCACGACTGCCAACTGTATGTGACGGCGGCGGCGGTGGCGGCGTCGTCGGCGTCGCCGGCGACAGCGACGGTGGCGAGTGGCGACTGTTATATTATTTTATTATTATTATTATTATTATACGCTCGACGTTCGTCGTTTCGTGTACGTACGTTATAATAAATTTAACGACGGATCGCGTGCATTAGAAGAAAAAAAATACGTAGGTAGAAGGTATTCGTCGTGACTTTGGCCGACACGGTAAATGTCGCCAGTTTGTTTTTCTATTTACCTCCTCGTGAGGCGTATGCAACTGCACCGACGGCGGCAGACACGACCATTACTGTAGTAATAATAATAATAATAATAATAAAGGTGAGAGGACGCGTGACCCGCGCAGAGGTGTTTTATAATATGTATAGACCAACTGCCGGGACGGGGTGTACACGCGCTCAGGCGCGAACAATAATTATTACCGGCGGACCCGACGACAATGTCGGCGGTGGACGGTGGTGATGAAGATAATTATTATTATCGGGGCGCGGCGGCCGTCTAGACTTTGCGCGCGCCCGGTATGCGTGTGTGTACACTGTCGGCGAGTGAATGTGTACGTGTGCGCGCGCGTGTGTGTGTGTGTGTGTGTGTGTGAGCTCGCGCGCGCGCGAGAAAAGCAGCAGCCGCCGCCGCCCGGTCGGGACGCAGGTCGAGAGGTCATACACACATATCAATACGCGCTCATATATATACGGGATGATGTGGCGGCGGAGTTGGCGGTCGGGCGGCGTGCACACGCAATATTCACAATCACATCCCCGGGGCCGCCCTGGGGGTATATAATATTTTTGTCCCCCCGCCGATCGCCAGTCGCCTCCCCGCTGACTATAACGCCGTGCGTGTGCGTAGCGTGCGTAATGTACGTGTACTTGTGCGGGCGTGTGCGTGTGTTGGTGTGCGTGTACCACACCGCCACCGCCGGCACCACCACTCGAACCATTATAGAGACGACACCACCCCACCCCTCCCCCCGCACGGTCACGCACCTCGCCGTCAGACCGGTAACGTTTACGGATCGTCTAGACGCTACGTCACCGAGCTCGGCGGCGGCGGCGGCGGCAGTTGCGTCACACTCTCTCGACGACGACACGTGTCGAGCGTGACCAACAACTACGCGCTCGGGTTTACTCCGGCGGCGCGTAGACGCCGACGCACCCCGCGCGCGGCATCGTCCGACGCCGATCGATGTACCACGTACATAATACATAATAGATGCATAGATATATAAAAACGGATAGAATATATTATTACTATTACTATTATTATTCGCTATATACCAAACGGGGCACGTGCGCGACACCGTAACCGGGCGATGACAGTGGCGTGCGAGACGGGTGTGCAGCTGCGCTTGTGGCAAGGATAAGTGGCGCGGAGGAGAGGGGTTGGGGGGGGGGTCGAGAGGGGGTTGTGTGTTTTGTAGCAGTGCCCCATGATACACGACGTACATATACACAGCACTATCGTAATGTATTAATGTGCAGTGTGTACAGAGATCGTGACGTATTATTATCTGGTGCATATTTTCTCTCACTCTATCGCCAACACAACCCGCGAAGCGTAACGCTCACCCCCTTGAGGTATAGTCTCAGCGCGGTATTTGTTTGAGTATTTAATTTTTTATTTTTTTTTTACCCTCAAGAAAACGATTACGGACGTCAAATCCTATATGAAGTGACATGCGCTACAGATTGACTCGACTAACGCATCTTTATCGTTCTATTATATTATGCTCTGCTATAATAATACTATATATAATATATTATACTCTTATTGTCCGCTGTTTATTTGGATCCATTATATTTATAGCACTAGGCATATAAGCTGTATACCTAAAAAAAAAATATTTGCGTTTAGAATTTGTATTTTTTTTTAATTTTAGATTTTGTTCACCCGACTGTATTTGAGAAATATGTTTTTTTAATGAAATCTAAAATTGTATGCGTAATAAAATAAAATAATTTGAATTTTTAAACATTCAAATATTTAAAAAAAAAACAAAGATATTCAAATTATACTTGTATCGGGACATACTTTCTCCCTTCAAATTTAGTTTCTTTCCATACATGCCAGTACCTAAATACCTTTCCTAAGCACAATAATATACACGTAGTATATTACACATGATACATATATTATTTCATCCATGCGCAAAATATTTCTAATTTATATATTACTAAATTTTTTGAAAAATGTCTTTGCTGCAAATTTAAATTTAAATTAATTTAATGTAAACGTCATCAAAATGTAGTATGCATACAAGAATGTGCAAACATTTATTATCATAAATTTGGAGAGAAAATAAATTTGAATGTTTCGCCAAGTCGCGTTCTGCTCTATATGCATCAATACGTGTATCATAGTGCTATTTATTTTATGTACGGCTATCGTGTTATTTTTTTTTTTTTTTTTATACATCCGCTCAATATGCTTCATACCTATATATTATACAGCCTAGTAATATATTCTATGATACATCGCCTAAACTGCCTCAGATCACATACGAGCATGGGGCATGCTCATGATATCATTCTCCGCGAGTGTACGAGTGGTTGACGACAACGACAACGATTATTAAACGTACCTCCATAATAATACATTATTTTGGTTTATGCTCTCAACGGCAGACGTACATTACAGCGCGACAGTGGCATACCAGCGACGGTAGACATCGTTGTCGAGTGGTCGGTCGGTAGCTGATGGGGGACCAGACCGATAACAATATATATATGGCACTTCAACTTTCAAGTACCGAGTACACGATAGTATAGTGTTAATCATAAATCACAACAATATTAATAATGATAATTATGGGCAGCAAATTTGGCCCGCAAATATTTAACACAATACATTTCATCATTCTGACCTAAAAATTATTTTAATATTATGACCAATGTCCGTAATTATATTGTATGTCAAACTAGATCCGTGTATTTAGAAAAGGGTTTTCTGTACAATAAATAAATAATGAATAGTTTGTCTTAAAGTCAAAAACAAAAACAAATTAATATAATTTAAGGTACCTATGGGTACCTATACATACTCCTATTATTTAACAGACTTTTGTTATAATTATTATAATTTTTTTTTCTCTTTTGTCTTCTGATTTGTAATTGTATTAAAACGTAGTAGATAATATCTTTTATTATTAATATTTTATTACTGGTTGTTATTTATTTTCCAAATGTTAAAAAAATTTAATAATTCTGTTAACAATAAGTTTTAGATGACATACGCAAGGAAAACTTTAAATTTATAAAAACAAAAAAAAATTTAACGGACTTATAATATATTATTTACATTTGAAATATTAATCGCATCACTGTATAGAAAAATTTCGCACTCAAGAACTACGAAAATAAATAAATAAATTACCGTATAATTTTGTTCCATAAATAAATATGTCAACATTGAACATATTCGATTTTCTCAAAGTATATGATCGTAAACGTTAACATATAAGAAATCTTGTTTTAACATTATAAAACGAGTGGAAAATAAATTAAATCAAAAACTGAAAAATTGCAGTCACTTTTACTTGTGACAAATCCATAAATTATACTGCCAAAACTATAATTTTGTTTTATTTTTACGGTAAATGTATTTTGATTAATATTTCTTGAAAATGTAGAAACATTTAAAATGTTTATCAACATTAGTATTGGCCACGCAAGAATGTAGTTTAGAACTAGACGTTAGTTTTTAAATACGTATAAACAGACTCATATTTATTATTTAATATTAGAAGAGAACGTATCTTGTTTAATCAAAACGTTTAGGTTTTATACCATAGAATGAAAATTGAACCATATGATGTACGTACAATTTAAATAACTTATTTATTGCAGAGCATACATCACATTAATTAAATGTATGTACTATATGTATATAGAAAAGGGAAAAACATCATATTAAAGAAATAAACAAAATGTGTTTATTATACATATACACTATAAGACAATCACACACAATTTCGGCCCCCAAAAAATTAAATAATCTATATAGTCCATAGAAACAATATTGTAGGTACATAGGCGTATTTACGGGAGGGGCCGGGTGGGCACTATCCCCTCGGCAGGCTGTGCCTCCAATAAAATCATGCCAGGATAAATTTTTCTTTATTATGTATCTGTTTTTAATCTAGTTTTGTAAATGTATTTTTATTATTTTGACAATTACAATGGTATAATACTTCCTGATCATAATTAAAAAATATTCCTACAATTGCAGTGAATTTTGTAACATATAAAAATGTCTAAACAAAAATAAGTCTCACAATTAAAAAATTTGTTGTGCTCCCTATAGACCATCGAAGGTTGAACACGTCTATGACTAGGTATATATAGTTCTGAATTGCTATAACCGGTATACGCATTAAAGTTATAACATTAGGCATATTAAACAACAACTGTATCTATGTACTGTATGCAGATCTAAATTCATCTAGTAGATTAAGGTACCATATAGGTTTATGTTTTTCGTATATCACATACAAACGTATAGCTCAGTTAGTATACGCATCAGCTATTATTAATATAATTTATTGTAATTGATTTTGCTGCAATAAATAAAAAAATATGTTTATTTTATTTTATTACTTATTAGGTAGTAGGATATAGTATATAAATATAGGTAAAAATATCCAAGGAAAAAATATGGGGGCAAGTGGATACCAGTGTGCTGTACATTCGGACATTCGGTGTCTATAGAAAGTAGATGAGAATTGTAATAGATGAGTTAAATAATTTGAATTCAATGATATAAAACCATTGTAAAACGATTCAAACGAAAAGCGATTTTGATTGAAAACGGTCTTATATTATAAAAGTTTTATTCACATTTATAGGAAACGGCTAAAAAAGTTCAACATTTCAAATGTCTATAAATAGCTCCAACCAATCCAAAATATTTTGAAAATGTTGTCATTTATAGAAAATGATAAAATAAATATTTAGTAAACATTTTAAGTTTTTTCGGTTATTTCTTTTTA